AAAACTGGATGGCCTATGCAGAGATGGGGTTTATATCAGCCAGGATTTAGGCGGTGCCGAGATTTTTTTCTCCCTAGTGTCCTATTGCTGTAGGTGGCAATATAACCTTATGGTCGAGAATGGAAGACGCTGTGTCCATCAGTGAACCAAAGAGAAATAATTATTTGATCTCCTGCAGATTTTGTAAATTTGCCCACTTACAAAGAAATGAAGGATCTATAATTTATAACATAGGTGTATTTTAAATTATAGCGACAAAATATTAACAAACATCTTTTTTATAGGATTAAGGTTTGCAGACTAGCTAGGCCACTCCATGACCTTAATGTGCTTCTTCTTGAGCCACTCTTTTGCTGCCTTGGCGGTATGTGTTGGATCATTGTCATGCTGGAAGACACATCCACGACTCGTCTTCATTGGTCTGGGAAGAAGGTTCTCCTCCAAGATTTTACAATACATGGCCCCATCCATTGGCCCCTCAATGCGTCAAAGTCGGTCTGTACTTTTAGCAGAGAAACAGCCCCAAAGAATAATGTTTCCACCTCCATGCTTGACTGTAGGGATGGTGTTCTTAGAGTCATAGTCAGCATTTTTCTTCCTCCTAACACAGCGAGTCGAGTTAATGCCAAAGAGCTCAATTTTGGTCTCATCTGACCACAGCACTTTCTCCCAATCCTTCAGATGTTCATTGGCATACTTCAGACAGGCCTGTACATGTATATTCTTGAGGGGAAGGACCTTGCAGGTACTGCAGGATTTTAATCCATGACAGCGTATTGTGTTACCAATGGTTTGTTTGGTGACTGTGGTCCCAACTGCCGTGAGATCATTCACAAGCTCCTCTTATGTAGTTCTGGGCTGTTCTCTCACTTTTCTCATGATCATGCTTACCCCATGAGGCAAAATCTTGACTGAGGGTGATTGATGGTTATTTTGTATTTTTTCCATTTGCGAATAATCGCTCCAACAGTTTTATCCTTCTCACCAAGCTTTTTGCTGATGGTCTTGTAGCCCATTCCACCCTTGTGCTGGTCTACAATCTTGTCCCTGATGTCCTTTTACAGCTCTTTGGTTTTGCCCATTGTGGTGAGGTTTGAATGGAAGAAAGAGATTCTGTGGACAGGTGTCTTTTATACACAAAATGAGTTATCACTTGGAGCACCTTCTTTTTTTTTTTTTTTTTTTTTTTTTTTAAATATTTATTAGTTTTTCATAGTATTACAAAATTTCCATAAGAAGAGGACCAAACGTACAAATAATCAAAACATTTCTACTTTGCCCCCTTCTAATTACCTCTTTTCTTTCCCTCCCCTCCCAACCCACCTACTACCCCCCACCCCCTCCCTCCCCTCTGCAAGATCACCAATCTCTCAAGACCCACTAACTTTAATTAATTTCCTAGTTTAAAATTTTCTATATTTCTCTTTCATTCCTGATTTTTCCCATTTTTCCCATCGCGAATAGTATATTTCCAACCTATCTTCCTGCATATAGTATGATTTTTCCATTCTGCTAATCTGGTTTACCCTATTAATCCAATCCTCCTCCATCGGCACCTCTCTGTCTTCCGCCAAAACTTAGGTATCAACCCTTTTGCAGCACTTAGGTAATACCATACGCCTGATTCTTTATATTTCTTTACTGTTGTCTCAACATTATGCAGGAGGCACATGGTTGGGTCTAACCCTATGTCATTTCCAGTTATTATTTCTATTAATTTAACTATTGTCTTCCAGAAAACCTGAATTTTTGGACATTGCCACCATATGTGGAACACCGTGCCCTCCTCCCCACATCCTCTCCAACACATTTTTGAATTCTCCCCACTCATCTTGTGCTCAGTGCTCGGTGTAATATGCCATCGTGTCAGACATTTATAGTTGATCTCGACGTCTCTCATACTAACACTCTCGTGTACCAATCTAAATATCTTATTCTGTTGATCTTCATCTATCACCACCTCCATATCTCTTTCCCAATTTGTTATAAAAATTAACTTTGTGTCCGTGTCTAATTCTGTGAGGATCCTATAAATTTTTGTAACACCGTGTTTCCCATCCCTACGTGTTTCTAATAGCCTTTCAAACAAATTCCACTCCTTTTTTAATCTCAAAGGTTTTGGGAGATTTCCAATGAAACATTTTAATTGGTGATATTTCCACTCATCTATTCTATTAAACATATCCCCCCCCCCTCTCTTTTAATTCTTTAAATGTTCTCAATTCCCCCTCTACCAATACATCTCTCAATTGGATATCTTCTTTTTTAAACCATCTCCCTGATATCTCTTCCTTTCCTGGAGGAAAAAACTCTGTGTTTGCAAGTGGCATTAATATAGAGTTGAATTCCCATTTCATGTGTTATGTAAATTATCCCATGTCCTTAAAACATTTAAAGTGAAAGTGCTTGTGTTTTCTTTAATTCTTCTATATTGTGCTGGGACCCATATCATCTTACTCAAACTAATTCCACTCAGTTCGTTTTCTATTTTTACCCAACTTTTTCCCTTATGGTTAAATGTCCAGTCATATATTCTTGCTAAAATTACTGCTTTATAATATCTCTTGACGTCAGGTAGTTCCATTCCCCCTTTCTCTTTAGTCCTGCTCAATGTTTCGTATGATATTCTTGGTTTTTTTATTCCTCCATATATATCTTGTTAACATTCTTCTCATTATCTTAAAAAACGCCTCTGGGAGTTTAATTGGGACCATTTGAAATCTATAGAGTATTTTAGGTATAATTACCATTTTAACTAGGTTTATACGTCCTAACCATGATGGATTTCCTCCTTCTAATCTTTTTAACTCATCTTTAGTCTCGTTTATCAAAGAAATATAGTTTAATCTATACAGTTGTTTATAAGAAGTAGCCAGTTTTATTCCTAGGTATTTTATATCTTTTTCTCTCCATATAAAGGGGAATTCTTTTTGTAACTTTTCTTTTTCGCTCTTTGGTATATTGATGTTCAGGATCTCTGTTTTTGTTGGGTTAATTTTTAGATTTGATAGTTCACCATACTCCTTCAGGGTCTTCATTATACTTGGTAATGTTATTCGGGGGTTGCCTACATAGAACAATAGGTCGTCCGCAAAGGCCGCTACCTTATGTTCTATATTTTCTATCTGGATTCCCTTTACCGCTCCACTATTCCTTATTATTGACAACAAGGGTTCCAGTGTCAAACGTACAACAGGGGGGACAATGGGCAGCCCTGTCTTGTTCCGTTGGACATCTCAATGTATTCCGACCTCTCCCCATTTACCGTAATAATTGCAGTGGGCTCCCTATATAAAATACCTATCCACTCCCGCATTCTCTCTCCGATCCCCAGCACTTCCAAGTTGTCCATCATAAAGCCCCAGTCCACTCTATCAAACGCCTTTTCGGCATCAATTGACAGGAGCACCACCAGGGCTTTTCCTTTTCTACTTTTCTGCATAAGCATTAAAGTTCTCAACCCGTTGTCTCTGCCCTCTCTCCCTGGGACAAAGCCCACCTGATCTCCATGGATCCATTCAGGCATTAGTTCTTTCAGCCTGTTTGCTAGAACCTTTGCGTACAACTTGGTATCAGTGTTCAATAATGAAATTGGTCTATAGCTAGAGCACTGAGAAGGATCTTTTCCCTCCTTATGAATGAGAACTACATGGGCCTGAAGGGATTCCCTCCTCCCCTCCATCCCACCTCCCAAGTCGTTCATATACTTCTTCAGCTTCGGTAACAGTGATTCACTAAATTTTTTATAGTACTTAACTGTATAACCATCCGGGCCAGGGCTTTTTCCCCCCCCTGTACTTCTTAATGCTGCTTCTATTTCTTCCTGGGAAATTTCCACGTCCAAGGAGTTCAATTGTGTTTCACTGAGTTTAGGTAATCCCGCATTTTTTAAATATATCATCCTTTTTTCGTTAATACCTTCTCTAGTTTCTTTTGGAGTACCTTGATACTTGGAGCACCTTCTTAAATTGACAGAACTAACCTGTGTACCACATGTGCACATAACCAGTCTGTGGGAGCCAGAATTATTGTTGGTTGTTAGGGGATCAAATACTTATTTTACTCACTGAACTGCAACTCAATTTATAACATTTGTATCGTGTTTTCTTTCTGGATTTTTAGTTGATATTCTGTTTCTATCATTTAAAATATGCCTATGATTAAAATTATAGACCCTTCATTTCCCTTACAAAATCTGCAGGAGATCAAATAATTATTTTTATCACTGTATGAAATGTGGTCTAACACAAAATCGTATTCTTACTTAAAAATATTCACAGAAAAAGTGTGATACAAATGTATGTAGCAAAAATAGGGAGAATATTGACAATTTCAGGCAGCAACAAAGGGATGAAGACAGTAGTGGGGGGTGGAGACAGAATACATTCATACTTATAATGTAAAAGAGTATCATTTTCACAGAATATACAAATGAGGAAGACACAAAATGTAATAAGAAAACTATATAACTAGAACACAAAACAAAAATGATTGCAAATTTAAGTTCTGCATGAGGATAAGTCGACCAAAAACCAAAATTTCAATATTTGGTAGACGCTAGGTAGTGAAACCCTCCAACAGTTTCTTATATCACTAAGGGGTAGATATTTGTACTTGTGTTCCAGGGTCTATAAACATGATGTACCCAATGTGCAACGCTTCAGAATAAGAAGCCAGGGGATGTTTTAAATATATTTTTCTTTATCTGGTTTATATAATTAAGTCTGTACTTGCTGTAGTTTTCCTCTATAGAAATGCAAGGGCTGCTTCTTGTTTAGCAGTGTTGCACAACAGTTGTACTTTGCAGTTCTTTCTGCTTTACCATTATTTCCTGTTGTGGTGGCACCATGTGTATAAGAGGTGCATAGGACAAGAAGTGAGAGGAAATCTTTACTACTCGAATATCCACTTAACAACTAAAATAAAAACAGATTTGGATTTTAGTCCACCACAATACCTTTGATCAAAGTGTTTAGGTGTTTAGTTTTTAGAAATCTTACCAATAGGAAAGCCACCAGTCTTGCAAAACATAGGCCACCTGTGTGAGCACAATAAATTAAGTTAGATACAAAACTATACGTTTTTCAGAAAAAAAAAAATGTCTCAGTCATTCAGTCATGCTACTGGTCAACTGATAGTAGCACAAACTACTAACCCAAAATTATATATATATATATATATATATATATATATATATATATATATATATATATATACATATATACAGTGGGGCAAAAAAGTATTTAGTCAGCCACCAATTGTGCAGTTCTCCCACTTAAAAAGATGAGAGAGGCCTGTAATTGGCATCATAGGTAGAGCTCAACTATGAGAGACAAAATGAGAAAACAAATCCAGACAATCACATTGGCTGATTTGGAAAGAATTTATTTGCAAATTATGGTGGAAAATAAGTATTTGGTCACCTACAAACAAGCAAGATTTCTGGCTCTCACAGACCTGTACCTTCTTCTTTAAGAGGCTCCTCTTTCCTGCACTCATTACCTGTATCAATGGCACCTGTTTGAACTTGTTATCAGTATAAAAGACACCTGTCCACAACCTAAAACAGTCACACTCCAAACTCCACTATGGTGAAGACCACAGAGCTGTCGGACACCAGAAACAAAATTGTAGACCTGCACCAGGCTGGGAAGACTGAATTTGCAATAGGCAAACAGCTTGGTGTGAACAAATCAAATGTGGAGCAATAATTAGAAAATGTAAGACATACAAGACCACCGATAATCTCCCTCGATCTGGGGCTCCACGCAAGATCTCACCCCGTGGGGTCAAAATGATCACAAGAACGGTGAGCAAAACTCCCAGGACCACACGGGGGGGACCTAGTGAATGACCTGCAGAGAGCTGGGACCAACGTAACAAAGGCTACCATCAGTAACACACTACGCCACCAGGGACTCAGATCCTGTAGTGCCAGACGTGTCCCCCTGCTTAAGCCAGTACATGTCCGGGCACGTCTGAAGTTTGCTAGAGAGCATTTGGATGATCCAGAAGAGGATTGGGAGAATGTCATATGGTCAGATGAAACCAAAATAGAACTGTTTGGTAGAAACACAACTCGTCGTGTTTGGAGGAGAGAGAATGCTGAGTTGCATCCAAAGAACACCATACCTACTGTGAAGCATGGGGGTGGCAACATCATGCTTTGGGGCTGTTTCTCCGCAAAGGGACCAGGACGACTGATCCATGTACAGGACAGAATGATTGGGGCCATGTATCGTGAGATTTTGAGTGCAAACCTCCTTCCATCAGCAAGGGCATTGAAGATGAAATGTGGCTGGGTCTTCCAACATGACAATGATCCCAAACATACCACCCGGGCAACGAAGGAGTGGCTTCGTAAGAAGCATTTCAAGGTCCTGGAGTGGCCTAGCCAGTCTCCAGATCTCAACCCCATAGAAAACCTTTGGAGGGAGTTGAAAGTCCGTGTTGCCCAGCGACAGCCCCAAAACATCACTTCTCTAGAGGAGATCTGCATGGAGGAATGGGCCAACATACCAGCAACAGTGTGCCAACCTTGTGAAGACTTACAGGAAACGTTTGACCTCTGTCATTGCCAACAAAGGATATATAACAAAGTATTGAGATGAACTTTTGATATTAACCAAATACTTATTTTCCACCATAATTTGCAAATAAATTCTTTCCAAATCAGCCAATGTGATTGTCTGGATTTTTTTTCTCATTTTGTCTCTCATAGTTGAGGTCTACCTATGATGCCAATTACAGGCCTCTCTCATCTTTTTAAGTGGGAGAACTTGCACAATTTGTGGCTGACTAAATACTTTTTTTGCCCCACTGTATATATATATATATATATATATATATATATATATATATATATATATATATATATATATATATATATACACACATACACACATACACACACACACACACACACACACACACACACACACTATATTGCCAAAAGTATTGGGTCACCTGCCTTTACACATGAACTTTAATGGCATTCCAGTCTTAGTCTGCAGGGTTCAATATTGCATTGGACCACACTTTGCAGCTATAACAGCTTCATCTCTTCTGGGAAGGCTGTCAACAAGGTTTAGGAGTGCGTCTAGGAGAATGTTTGACCATTCCTCCAGAGGCGCATTTGTGAAGTCAGGCACTGATGTCAGATGAGAAGGCCTGTCTCGCAGTCTCCACTCTAATTCGTCCCGAATGTGTTCTATCGGGTTATCGGGTTGAGGTTAGGACTCTCTGCAGGCCAGTCAAGTTCCTCCAACCCAAACTCACTCATCCATGTCTTTATGGACCTTGGTTTGTGCACTGGTGCGCAGTCATGTTGGAATAGGAAGGGGTCATCCCCACACATACACACAGTATATATAATTGGATGCTTTTTTTTTCCCTTTCATTGTCTTATATTACACTAGAATAAGGGGAGGATCATAGCGTTTGATATGAAGAAATACAGAGAATTCTTCTTTCACATACTTTGATAACTTGCAGACAAGGTCAAGCATTGCAAGATTGGGTTGGGTGGATCCCCTGCAGCAAATAAAATTAATAGGAGTACATAGCACACAAGCAGTCGTAGATTAGTACTTTTAGTGGAGCAGTAACACAAGGAACAGACAGTGCCCCAAAGCCTCAACAAAGTATGACAGGCACAAACCATAAGAACAACAATGTAGGCAAAATAAGAACTTCAGTTTTAACTTTAGTATTCACAATAGAATAGTTTATTTTAATTGATTGCTCTAAATTACTTCATTTTGCAATGTTCTGTAACTTTTATACCTTGTAGAGCAGTATTTTCCCTTTTTTCCATGGCACGTGTACAGTATGTGTCTCAATCTCCTAGATTGTAAGCTCCAAGGAGCAGGGCCCTCCTATCCCTCTTGTATTGAACTGTATTGTTGCTGTATTGTCTCCCTTTATATTGTAAAGCGCTGAGCAAACTGTTGGTGCTATATAAATCCTGTATAATAATAATAATAATAACTTGACATGTTATGCATTCCCTGGTTCTACACTTTCCACAGCACAGACCCCCTAAAAAACAACAGCTATTGTGTAAGGACATGATCCCTACTGTAAATATTACACAATCTGCAAAGAGCTGACATAATCTTACTGTTTACCTAATATTGTGTAAGGAACATAATAAAGAAGAAAAAAAGGACCACATGATCACAGAAATTCTCCTCTTTGCTAGTTTAGCTAGTAAGGACTGATCTAATGAAGAAAAAAGTTTATTATGAACTCCATCGGCTATTTTGTAAGAATTTGTTTCCCACATGGGTGTCCAGGCAGTCTGGGATGTGTGTGCTCTTTAAAAGGAGAGTGCAGTATCACAATTGACAATACACAATAGCAGATCAGTGGTGAAAGGAGCAATGTTGTACAGAACTAAACTCACTAACATGCTAAGTCAGAGATAAAAAAAGAGCATACTGTAACTGCAGAGAGGGAAAGGGAAAGAGTTTTACTGTACCAAGATAGAGATGAAAGCAGTATTTTGGAGAGAGACAGAGAGTGGAAAGTGAAGTGCTGAATAATACACAGACAAGAAGAGGAAAGAGGAGGAGAAATGGACAAAGAGCAGAGCTACTGAAGAGGAAAGGGCAATCTTCAGCAGACAGCATAGCCATGAAGGGGAAAATTCAGTATTGTACATAGAAGGCATAGCTGTGAAGAAGAATGGGTAGTATTGTAGTAGTATTGTGCAAAGACAGAATAGCTGTGAAAGGAAACAGCAATGATGTGCAAGGCACAGTCATAAAGAGGAACGACCGTAATGTTAAAGCCAGCACAGCTGTGAAAAGAATAAAATAGTATTGTGCAGAGGCAGCATAACTATGAAAAAGAAAAGAGCAGTATTGTGTAAAGCATACCCCTGAAGAGGAATTAGCAGTGTTGTGAAGAGAAAGGATAGTTGTGAAGAGGCAGTAGGAGAATTGGGCAGAACATAGCTTAAAGGGAAAACTGCATTACTGTGCAGAGATAGCGTAGATGTGAAGAAAAATGGGTGGTATTGCACAAAACATAACTGTGATGTGAAGGAGAAAGGGCAGTATTATAAAGAAAATATAGCTATGAAGAGGAAAGGGCAGTACTATGCACAGCCAGCATTGCTGTGAAGAGGAAAGGGCAGTACTATGCACAGCCAGCATTGCTGTAAAAAAGGAAAGGACAGTACTATGCACAGCCATCATTGCTGTGAAGAGGAAAGGGCAGTACTATGCACAGCCAGCATTGCTGTGAAGAGGAAAGGGCAGGACTATGCACAGCCAGCATTGCTGTGAAGAGGAAAAGGCAGTACTATGCACAGCCAGCATTGCTGTGAAGAGGAAAGGGCAGTACTATGCACAGCCAGCATTGCTGTGAAGAGGAAAGGTCAGTACTATGCACAGCCAGGATTGTTGTGAAGAGGGAAGGTCAGTACTAATCACAGCCAGCATTGCTGTGAAGAGGAAAGGGCAGTACTATGAAAAGCCATCATTGCTGTGAAGAGGAAAGGGCAGTACTACGCACAGCCAGCATTGCTTTAAAGAGGAAAGGGCAGTACTATGCACAGCCAGCATTGCTGTGAAGAGGAAAGGGCAGTACTATGCACAGTCAGCATTGCTGTGAAGAGGAAAGGGCAGTACTATGCACAGCCAGCATTGCTGAAAAGAGGAAAGGACAATACTATGCACAGCCAGCATTGCTGTAAAGAGGAAATGGCAGTTCTATGCACAGCCAACATTGCTGTGAAGAGGAAAAGGCAATACTATGCACAGCCAGCATTGCTGTGAAGAGGAAAGGGCAGTACTATGCACAGTCAGCATTGCTAAGAAGATGAAAGGGCAGTACTATGCACAAGCATCATTGCTGTGAAGAGATAATGGGCAGTACTATGCAGAGAGAGCATAGCAATGAAAAGGAAAGAGCACTATTGTTTAAAAAATAGCCTTGAACAGGAGAGGGAGAATGACAGCATAACTACAAAGGAAGAAAGTTGCAGAAGAGCAGAATTTAGCAGAGAAGGCTACAATATTGCACAAAACTTTAAAACAAACTTTTCACGAGAGAAACACAGAAGCTGCATTTAGTCCTGACATACGTACCTGTGCCAGAATGTTTAGCAATAAAAGAATAAAAATGATCAGATAACTGGACCCGGACAGGAAGTATTTCTTGTACACCTTAAAGCCAACAGTTCCCTCGGATCGGCTCTCCTCTGGAACTGCAGTCAGCACAGGTTCAGTCTGTTACAATGGACACAGGTACCATGAAAACATGTTGGTGGACCCTGAACAGTACACTTCAAAACCCTAAAAGTGCTCATTTTCTCAAAAATTAAATCTGACCCATTGCTATGGGCAACTTTTCTAATTGTGTTTCCCGTTTTATAACAGCCACCTATTTTGCTTGATATATATGTAATTAAAAAAAAAGCAGTATCAAGCCAAAAACCAAACATTTATTGTACTGCAGCTTACCAATTCTTAGGTGTGATGGATGCTTTCTTTTTTTTTTAAGCTTTCTTTCTTGTATTTTCATGTGGTGATCCAGCCAGTAAGTCCATTGTTTTTCAAACGAATAAGCTCTTTTGCGGAAGTACTGTATCAGTTACAGGATGGAGACAAACCATTCAACAATGGCAGAGGTGATATCAATGATCAGTTTGTTTACGTAAAATCTTCATCCCTAAAATGTAAGCTGGAGTTCAGCTTAAATTTGTTAGTGTATTTAAATCAGCTAGTACATCTAACACTAGCCTTCCCCAGACTGATAATGCTGTTAGCCAAAAGTGCCCTGTGCTCCTTCATCTAGAGTGGGGACACTCTAATACAGGAGGCGTGTTACTGGCCAGATCACCAGGTTAAAACAAAGAAAAAAAGCGTAAAAAACTAAGACAGATACTACATGTTACAAATTTAATGATTGGTAAGCTCCAAAATATTACATTCTTGGTTTTATACCACTTTAAATTGTTCAAGCAGAAGAGTAATATCACTTTGAAATGAACTTATTGGCTGTATACTGGCTCCCCTCACACAGCTAATACTGAGCAAAGATAACAAGTACACTTTGATGACAATGTTTTTCCTACACATTAAGCTTCCTGAACTTACCGGCAAAGTGTCTGCTGTGCCTTCTTTCTGTGACTGTACAGAAGACTCTTGCGACCACACTGAAGACTGAGAGAAAGTGCGGATTCTGGACGACTTTTACCAGCGGCCCTCAGGATTCTGTGACTGCTCTTCTTCCTCACTTTTCAGGAGGGATGCAAAATCGACACCTGACTGCAGCAGCTCCGCAAATGTTCCTTTTCCTACCATCTTGCCCTTGAATATCATAGAGATTTTTCACATTTTACTAACTTGTTATAAAAAAGTGAAATTTATGTACAAAAGAAACATTAGAAGATTTTGTCTACACTGGCGCAAGGGACACAGGAACACAGATAAATAATGGCTGTGATTATCAACCTGCGCCCTCACCACCTGGCTACCCCGCAAGAGGAATCCCTGTAGTTGCTACACCCTTGATCTTCTCAATTTGCATATGTAGCAGTCCAAGCCTTCCTTGTGCACTTTCCCTCTCTGAGCCCAGTACAACCACATTTACACAATGTCATAGTAGGTTGCAGGCATTTTTTAACAGGTCTGAAAGTGAATACTTCACCACCTCCATTTTTAAAGTATCACATATACATATATACTAGCAACTGATAAGTCCCTGTTGGCAAAAACAGAAATGCCCATGGATCATTGTTCTTATTCAGCAAACGTCTTGTGATGCCTTATAAAACCAATTGGTCATTCACTTACATACAGTTGTGTTCAAAATAGTAGCAGTCAAACATCACTAACCTGATCAATCACCGTTTTTGGTAGAAATGCTATTTCTACATGGCAAATAATTTACTAGCAGGTGTAGTAGAGTAATAGAAATCCAACAGACCCAATAGTCATGACATGCATGCTGCTGATTTTGTGTAATTGAATCACTAATTGAAGGGGGCATGTTCAAAATAATAGCAGTGTGGAGTTCTATTAGTGAGGTCATTCATTCTTTGAAAAACAGGTGGCAATTATTGCCCTTATTTAAGGAAGGAAGGCAGAAAAATGTTGTACATGCTGGTTACAGTGCATTTCTCTCTGAAATTCTGAGGAAAATGGCTCATTCCAGACATTGTTCAGAAGAACAGCGTACCTTGATTAAAACGTTGATTGGAGAGGGGAAAACATATAAAGAAGTGCAGAAAATGATAGGCTGCTCAGCTAAAATGATCGCAAATGCTTTAAAATGGCAACCAAAACCTGAAAGACGTGGAAGAAAGCGAAAAACTACCATTCAAATGGATAGAAGAATAGCCAAAATGGCAAGGACTCAGCCAACAATCATCTCCAGGAAGATCAAAGAAGGTCTAAAGTTACCTGTGAGTACTGTTACAATTAGAAGACGCCTATGTGAAGCCAAGCTATCTGCAAGAAGCCCCCGCAAAGTCCCACTGTTGAAAAAAAGACGTGCTGAAGAGGTTACAATTTGCCAAAGAGCACATTGACTGGCCTAAAGAGAAATGGCGCAACATTTTGTGGACTGATGAAAGTAAGATTGTGCTTTTTGGGTCTAGTGGCCAGAGACAGTTTGTCAGACGACCCCCAAACACTGAATTCAAGCCACAGTACACTGTGAATACAGTGAAGCATGGTTGCGCAAGCATCATGATATGGGGGATGTTTCTCATACTACGGGGTTGGGCCTATTTATCGCATACCAGGGATCTTGGATCAGTTTGAATACATCAGAATACTTGAAGAGGTCATGCTGCCTTATGCTGAAGAGGAAATGCCCTTGAAATGGGTGTTCCAACAAGACAACAACCCCAAACACACCAGTAAACGTGGAACATCTTGGTTCCAGACCAACAAGATTGACGTTATGGAGTGGCCAGCCCAAACCCCGGATCTTAATCCAATAGAAAACTTGTGGGGTGACATCAAAAATGCAGTTTCTGAGGCAAAACCAAGAAATAGAGAAGAACTGTGGAATGCAGTCCAATCATCCTGGGCTGGAATACCTGTTCACACAGGTGCCAGAAGTTGGTTGACTCCATACAACACAGATGTACAGCAGTTCTCAGAAACAGTGCTTATACAACTAAATATTAATTAAGTGATTCAAAGGAAAGCTGTCAAGGTCCTACCTTTTCCCTGTGGTTATGTTACTTCATGTGCTGGTGTCCATCTTGGATTCTGCTGTGCATGATGGGAGCCCTTTTATGCCTTCAGGTTTCTGTGGTCCATCCTCCAGAGGGGTGTGTGGCTGATGACATATAAGCCTGTGGCCCGCACATGCACTTGTGTCTTGTGTCTTTGTGTTGCTGTTACTCTGTTCTGACTCTCGTGACTCTCCTGGTATCTGATTCGGCTTGTCTTGACTATTCTTTGTATTCTCCTTTGATCTGACCCTCTGTTGCTGAACCCGGCTCGTGACCTGTGATTCTCGTCTGCTGTCCTGTACTGTTTCTGTCCTGTTGTTGTTGACCCCGGCTTGTCTGACTACTCTTTTGTCTCTTCCACCAGCTACACGCCATTGGCGGCGGCCATTACCGCAGCTGAGGTGTCTCGGGGGCCGCGACCTGGTTCCTGGCTGCGTCAAGTCCATCCCCACCATCAGGGGCCCTGGTGAAGGGCAGCCTGGGACTTAGACTCCGCGCCCTGAGGGACTTCGGTCTGTGGGTGGTGGTTTCGTGCCAGTGCGTTACATTGTTAGGCCTGCCTGTCCGTTCCTCAGCTCCTGCCCTGACCAAAAGCAAAATCTTCAAACATTTTTCAGTTTATATAGTGAATGTTTGAGTTTGTAAAGAATAATACAAACACTGCTATTTTTTTCAACAGTCTAATATTCACTTTTCCTAAATTTGTTTAGAGGAACAACACAAATTTGATATATTTTTCTTCATGTTTTTGATTTGGAATAGAATGTGTAGTGTTCCCAATGCATTTGTGTGTATGGAAATAAAAGCTATTACAAGGATTTTGAGCTTTATTCACTTTTTTCAACACACTGCTATTATTTTGAACACAACTGTACCTGGTATTTCCCCTGATGAACTTTATCCTTTTGGAGGAACGTTTAGGAAACCCTGTCTAGAGGCTGCCTACTTTAATTTTTTTATTCAAAATATATTTAGCTCTTCTGTTTGCTGCATTTGAACCCAGTGAAATTCATGTACAATGTCAGTTACAAAAGCATAATAGAATAAAAGCATACCTCTTTCAGAATGAGAATTTGTTTGGCGGCACTTAAGTATTGAAGCTGATGGGTCACCAAGATGCAGAGCTTCTTACGCAGAGCCTGGCAGATGCACCTTCCAAGAATGAGACAACAATTAAAAATGGCTAATAAAATACAGAGAAAATTCCAATCAGGCAAAAGCCCAAACTTTCAGCTAAGTCAAACTAAAAGAACTTCCAGTATATACAAAGAAAATAATTACCATTCTTTGTTCCTGAAGATTATCATTCATGAATATCACAACTTGGACAAACATTAAACTCATACTACTATAAAAATTCCAACTAATTACAAACTAAATCCAAACTCTGCTATACTTCTATGAGGGACCCAATTTTCTGCTAATACAGCAATTTGGTGCAATGGACCGAGCAGCTGGATTGTACAATAATTCTTTCACTATGTGCCAGTACAAAAAAATTAAATACAAAATCTAAAGTGATATTAAAGAATTTTTAAGCACTTTCAGCAGCTGATTTAATCACCTGTTGAGTATGCAGATTCTTCATCTTTCAATTTTTGCCTGTGTTCCAGTTTAAGATGATGCCATGATCATCGCCCCAGGATTCCTGTTTCAGTCTGGCTCCTTTATCTTGCAGAGTCCTATGGGGTCACCTTGGCATGCAGGAACTAGAATTGTGTCTATCTACACTGTGTGCATCAACAGACAGTAGAAACAAACAATAATATAGCCTAGTATAACAAGGTACTTCCCAGCTCCTCCATCCTCCTCCTCCATCCCCCTTTTCCCAAGGAAACAGACTGACTAGAGGCTGCACTATCCCCTGTTAACTTTCCTGTGAAGACCAGGAAGGAAGCAACATTCAAAGTTGTACACTGCAAGTACAGGGGTAAGAGTTTTAACTAATAGTTTACTGGGGAATGTTTATTTTATTGTGCTTATAAATGCTTGTTATAAATCATGAGTGTTCAATACTACTTTACCTGTTTTGAAAACCACAAGAAAAAATTCATAAAATCTTGTGTTAAGTAAAGAGGAACACCACTTTAATATACAGTTAGAATGCACATCAATATACAGTCTCCAGCACATCAATGTAATACATGCACATATCCCCACGGTTTGTCTCTTCAACAGCACAGCAAGTACAGAAAAAAACCTATGATTTTGCCAGAAATGAACTTGGCTTCAAATGTGCTATTTTAGCTGACAGTGCCATTTTAGCTTAGTGACTCTGCAGCACTGAATTCTTGAGCAGTGTCGTCAGCGCTGACCAGTTTTCTTTTGCTTGACTACAGAACAACTTCCCCTCTCCTACTTTTCATAGCATAAGGGGGAGAATTCCTGCAGTCCAAGAGAAGAGAACCAGGCAGGGCTAATAAAACAGCTTGGGATTTCAGTGCAGCAGAAGTAGTGTAGTCAGTGCACAGAAGAAAGTAAGCACTTTCCGGATTTCTGGCAGATTCAACAGGTATTTTTTCCGTTTTTTTTTTCTCTTCTTTTTTTATTGTGCTTATACACTTCAGTCAGGGAATTCATGTTTCAGGCTGTACTGTCCGTAAGTGCCCTTTCACACCAGCGGGCATGCATTAATGCACTGTTGTTGTGCTGCACAACCCACTGCAGTGCTTTTTTTTAACTTTATAAAACTTTACAGTTCATTTAACTCGTATAAACTCTATATGCAGTAGTGTGTTGTGATGTGTTATAGCTTGTTGTAAAATGCGTGTTCTATTTTATCAACACACATTAAAGTGACTGTAAAGGCTGAAAGCTCCCCCACAGCTTCCCCCCCCCCCCAACACCCCCCTGGGCCCCCTCTTGATCTAGCAATGTGCATGGGAGCCTCAGCTGTCCTGGGTCTGCCTTTCCTAATTGGTTGAGACAGCAGCAGGAGCCAATAGCGCCATTGCTCTCAATCACATCCAGTGAGCCAATGAGGAGAGAGCAGGGACAAGGCTAAGCCACAGCTCTATGTGTCGGGAGCCAGCAGGCGCTAGTGCCCCTATAGCAAGTGGCTTGCTTTTGGGGCACTGGTCAATAGGGAGTAGCTAGTAGCACCGGCGGGGGACCCAAGAAGAAGAGGATTGGGGCTGCTTTGTGTGTCAAGTATGACATGTTTGTTATTAAAAAAAAAAGCCAAAACTTTAATATCATCTTAATGCACCACATTAGTGTGAGATGAACTAATAGGTTATAAGCCAAACAGCTGGTATGAAGGAACCCAAAAACATGTGCAAAGATTGTCTATACAGAATTACACGGTTTGTCAGGTAAGATAGTAACAGTAGGTATGTTCAACACATGAATCTTTTGTTGTAGTAAAGTCTTGCTAATTTATAGATAGCATTTGAAAACTGTTTCACAAACAGTGCCATTCTAAAATGTATCAGTGTATATGTCTGTATTGGAACATGCAGATGAATCACTGTGATTTGACTATAAAATCCATGAAATAAAGGTTTGGGCTGATGTTTTACAATTATATGAAGCTTGGCAAGCATAACGCACAATCATCGTTAATAATGGAGCCTATTAATCATAGATCAAGGCCTTCTCAACAAGCATACAGTACACAATCTGAAGGACACTGAATTTCTATAGTTAATAAAAACGTCACTGACAACTGTATTGATACAAGTCCAAGGCCAGAATCCCCCTTCACACATAGAAACCACATCAGGGCCACACACTTATTCTTTTATTAAAAACTTGTCCTTAAGAAGGACGGGGGTGTTTTAATTCCATTGTGCAGATGATTTAAAGCAGCGCTTCAGAAAAAATTCAGTAAGAATACACTTCTATTGTACAGCGCACAACTGAAAAAAGAAAAATGTTCTGTTTCAAGAGGACTCTTGACAGATCGGAGATAGGGAACATTTTCAATCGTCTCTCGTCTTACATTCTGATTCGATAAATAAAAAAAAAGACTGGGATAACAAGCTGCCATGCCTTAATTTAAGCGCTTTGTTTGACACATTTCATGTGCAAATTCTTACAGTATTGCTGAACTGATAAATGTTTTATGTCCCAGGGCCTAGGCAGCTAACAAATGCGATCTGTATAGTGAATATGTTTCACGGCATAATCAAGGCATTGAGCATCAGTTCACTTTGTGGGAATATGAGAGGGAGACGAATCATCAAAGTAACTCTCTGTGCATTGTCATACACTTCAGAAATCTTCTGTCTGTGTCAAGAAAACAAATGTCTGAATTTATTTAGATAACGCTGCTGTTTAGAGGAGAAAACAAAACATCAAAGACAGCAACAGAAATCGTGACCAGAGGGAAATACAAAGTTTGTGAAATAAACAGATGAGAGGATTCTAGCGCACTGCAAATAAAGAATAACATACTCAGCCAAGAAAACAATATTTGTACACACAAACACACTTATGCTGGCAATGTATCTGTAGAACCTTGCATACTAACTACTACGGATTGATGACAGTGAGAATCTTAAGTCTCGTATGCCATATATGCCTTTGTGTATACCAAAGAAAACCTGTATAGGCTGTCATTACTGACCTCTCCTGAAAATAAAAGGTGCCTGGGGGTCATGCTGATCCAACGGCTTCAATACTTTCTGAATCACTAACAAATAACAAGCATGTAGATCAAGCTTTCCGACTTCTCTTGACTTTACTCTTTGAAGGCTTGTTCCAGGACAGTAAACACAAAAAATACTAAAGCCAGAGGTAGATGGCTAATCAGCATTGTAAAAAAGAAGTCAGCCACGACAGCTTCTTATTCTCTCTCTCAGTGCAGATTAAAGTGATACTAGACCTTTTTTTTATTAGAATAAAAAGGAGGTTTATACTTACGTGCTATGTGTAAGGATATTGCACAGATCAGAGGTTTACCTCCTCCTTTTTGGTCTCCCGCTGGCACTGTTCGCTCCTTCTTCCTATGAGTGCCCCCTCAGCAAGCTGTGTGTTATGGGAGCACCTGCGGGGGCGCGCCCCAAAGCCAGGCTGTGATAGTCCATAGACACACACAGAGTGGCTCGGCCGCACTCCCTGCTCCCTCCCCACAGGATTTGACAGAACAGTGGCAGCCTATGGCAGTCTGTCCTCTGAGACCAGGAAGAGAACTCCTCATCTGCATTCCTGTTACAAGCCAGTGACGAAAAAAGAACAGATGCTAGAGCAAGTGACAGCTAGGCTTTTAGCATTCTTAGAAAAAAAGGTCTGTGCCAACTCCTATATATCAATCAACACAGGTTTCCTTTAACCACTTGCCAACCTGCTCATAGTAAATATACTGTGACTGAGTGGCAAGTGCAGGCATAGCAACAAACATGTACAATGCTGGCCTTCTTCCGTGTTTAGAACGTGCATAGTGTGGGACTTTTGTCACCCTTGTTCCGTAAAGGGTACCATTTGTACGTGGACAACTTTTATACAAGCGTGCCACTTTTCAGACATTTGTTCATTAAGAGAAATTAGCTGCTGTGGCACCATGCAACCTAATCACAGGGGCTTCACACAAGGGCTCGTTAATACCCCACTTAGAAAGAGGGAGAAAGCCTGCTTGGGGCATGAAGAACTACTTGCAGTAAACTAAAAGGACAAATGTATTCATTCTGTTTTCCATTCACCCAGATACAGCGGTCTAAATTAACATGGCATCTGGTGTAGTTGAAAAGCCTCTCTGCATCCACGACTATAATCTAAATATGGGAGGCATAGACTTCAACAGCCAGATGATGAAGCCATATTTAGTTTCCTAGAATCACACCATAGTGGACTATTAGCCTAGGGAAAAGCACGACACAGTATAGGGGTCCACACAATTCTGCACAAGAAGGGTCTATAAAGATGTTAGGTAGTCAGGAAACGATCACAATTTTAGAGACCCTAAAATCAAAGGTTGGAAAGGTTATTGTTGTGGAAAGTTAAGTTACAGAAAAAAGTTTAAAAAAAAAGTATACAAAAAAAAAGAAAAAGGTTTTATTAGGTTAATGTGATATTGTCACTTTGTGTTATTGTAAACTGTTTGCTTTGCAGGAACTCCAGTAAGCTGCAGTACTGATCGGTGTGCCTGCAGCGCTGTAAGGGGAGATTTCTTAATTCGCAATTTAAAAAAAAAAAAAAAAGAACGTGTCTGT